AATTCTGACAATAACAATTTGGCAGGAATGTTTTATAGTAATACGTCATTTAATCACATCATTGAATCCAATCACTAATTACAGATAATGCCACTGCATCATAGTATAGTTACTAGCATTATTGTTTAGCTTCCATAAATGGTTCTTTTATAACAATTTTGTAAAAGTGTTTACGATGTAGATAACATTTGTAATTTTCTCTTTGTATAAATGTTACCTCAACTGATTCAATGATGTGATTAAATGACGTATTACTATAAAACATTCCTGCCAAATTGTTATTGTCAGAATTATTACTAATAAGAATGAGCTATTATTACAGAGTCCAATAACATGAAGGAACATTTCCTACCAGTAAACTAATGAAGATCTGCAGCTCAGGGTGGAGTGTTCTGGTAGCTCCCATACTCCTCGACATGCAGAGAAGGAGATGCCTGTTGCTGAACGAGCCCAACTTCCCCTCAGATCCTATGCTGTAGCTCAATATCTCCCTCCCCTTATTATACCCCTTACATACAACACAATAGTTATGGAAAGCACAGGACTTAGGTGCAAGGGAACCAAGCCTTGCCTCAAGGTCTCCCCCTGGTGGCTATAAAATTCTCACTTTCCACTCAGGAGTTCCAACTGCTATAATTGTGAGCTGGTAAATTCAAACACAACTCTTCTTGCTTCCAGTCCTCCAGTTTTGGGGTTGGTTTTTGTGATGCCAGTAACCATATAAATGTGCTTAATGAACAATTCATAAAATTTCCATTATACGTTTTTCTGCGGTTGTACGTAGGTGAGAAAATTAAATAACCACTCCATGCTACCAAGATTTCTTACACGCCAATGTTCATCAAATAACTTTTGAAGACTGCTATTTATTAGCAAAGAGGAGTAAACCCACATAAATTCCAAGAAGTGATGATGGACTTGGCTGTAAAACATCAAGTTTATGCTGTGCAGTTTCCCGAGATGCCATTAGACTAATTTAGAATTTCTTTCAAAAGACAAATAATCCAGACCACAAACATATTAACAGCTTTAGATACCTGTGTCACTTCTCTTTCATTGCAAGACTTTCCTTCAAGGTTACATCAACATAATTTGCAATGGGATAAAAATTACCAACTATTTTTATACCTTGTACATAAATGTGGAATTGAATTGTAAAGTGTGGAATTCCCACTTCATATGTTTTAATTTCAATATATATCTGTATTCTGCATTCTTGCTATATTTCAGAAATTTAATCAAGATATGGCACAAATGATTCCGCCTCACAAATGGATGTATGCCATAGTTTAGGAGAAATTGAGGTTCAATTTGTATTATTAATCCACATCAGGAATTAATGTTCAGTTTCATCTTGGAACATAAGAATTCATCTGAGAAAATGGCAGAGAGAGAAATGGGTATTGCAATTCACAAAGGTACACCCAAAATGTCCCAGCTAGATCTATTTTCTTACCTTGGAAAAAGTTGGGAAATTACCTTCCTTCTACTCTAGCTCTATCATTTGAACTATCAAAAGTGAAACAGATCAGAATATTTCTTCTTTTACTATGCAGCAAATATATTTTTTATTTCTCTATTATCATATTTTTAATTCATAGAAATCCTACAATCACCTAACTGGTAAAACTCAAGTTATAACAAACTCATGGCAAAGAGTGCTTAATGGTGGTGTAATGGTTAGAGTGCAGTACTGCAGGCTACTTCTGCTGCCTGCCGCCTGCCTGCAATTTGGCGGTTCAAATCTCACCAGGCTCAAGTTGTTGACTCAACCTTCCATCCTTCCAAGGTGGGTAAAATGAGGATCCAAATTGTTGGGGGCAATATGCTGACTCTGTAAACTGCTTAGAGAGGGCTGTAAAGCACTGTAAAGCAGTATATAAGTCTAAGTGCTATTGCTATTAACACAATTGAAAGAAATGCTTAAGAAAATTGAATTGTCACTCTTTTTTGACAGTTATGTAAACAATAATATTTTTGACAGTTATATAATTGATTTTAACAATTTGCCATTTAAGCACAATATGCTATGCTATGGATATGCTGTTTATTAAGACAAAGAAAGCAGAAACTGAACTACAGAATAATTCTGAACTTGGAGGATGTCCGAAAAATGAGAGCTCTTTTACTCCCATCTAGTGGTTTTAGCTCCCAATAACAGGTTATACCTGTTAACAGGATATACCTATTTTATGCATGGTATTAAAATGCTAGGTGGTTTTTTTGTAATATAATATATAATATAGAAAATGTAGGCTCTTACTAAAAACAGGAGAAACATTTGGAAATACACCATGCTTGTTTCACTGGAATCCCCACCTTGAAAGTTTTGACTGGAGAAAGATATCCCTAACATTCATATTTAAAAACAATCAAACATTAAGTCAACCTATCAACATGTCTTTCTCATTTAAGTGGGATCCAAATTTTGCTAACTTAATTGAATGAGGACATAGCAAGAATTCTCAATTATGTGGTTATCCTTGTTGGGGAATTCTCAATAGGGTTAAATAAGACTCATTTAAGTCTTGGTGGCACAGTGGTTAGAGTGCAGGCTACTTCTGCTGATCACCGGCTGCCAGCAGTTTGGCAGATCGAATCTCGCCAGGCTCAAGGTTGACTCAGCCTTCCATCCTTCCAAGATCTGTAAAATGAGGAACCAGATTGTTGGGGGCAAGATGCTGTAAACCGCAGACCGAGAGTGCTGTAAAAGCACTATGAAGTGGTATATAAGTCTAAGTGCTATTGCTATTAAGCCAGTTTGTCTCTGAGCATTACTCTACATATCTTCTTCCAATTGTTTTTAAAGAAAACAAAACCTTATTGTAAAATCAGTCGGGAGTGGGGGAGGGGAAGAATACTAGAGGGACAAGAACCAGCTTGGTGTAGTGGCTAAGCATCAAGCTAGAAACCAGATCATGAGTTCTAATCCTGCCTTAGGGACAAAACCAGCTTGGTGAGCTTTGACCAGTCCCTGCCTCTCAAATCTAAGAAGCAAGCAAGGGCAAAACACATGCAGAAACTTGCCAAGAAAACTGCAGTCCAGGCAGCTATGAAGGACAGAGATGGTATACACTTACCTTCCCTACTGGTTCGCAAATGTGAGCATGCACTTCTCTTGCACGTACCACCTCTGCACATATGTAGATCCTTCCAGCATGCATTTGGCAAAAAAAGTGCCTAAATGGGATGCCATGGAGCCGGGTGCGGGTGGGCGGAGGCACCCACCCACGATTTCCGCTACCAGTTCAGGTGATCTGGTCTGAACCAGTAGTCCAGTGGTCAAGGAGTCAAAATTGACTTGCATGCACATGGGTATGCGCACGCATATGTGCACACATGTGCACAGGGAAAAGCGCATAAGGAAGATGTGTTGGAGCAATTTGCTATTTTACATATTAAACAGTTGTGTAAATCTTGTCCAGGTCTAGAATCAGTCAAATGGAAAATAATCTTATACTCAAATCTTATCTGAGGTTTTGTAGGAAAGCTAGTCTGTTTTGAATCTATTTCAATCTATACAGGCTAGTTACCATGTATTTCTTCAACGTTATCCTGAATGATCGATGACAAGAAAGAATAGCATTTATTTTGTCCTTGTTTATTGACATTCTAGCCTCACAGCATGATACAGTTACAGTTGTTCAATATTACTGGCAGAGAAGTATTTTCATGGCTAAATCATGGCTAAATTCTGTCAGATGCCATGCAGTAAGAACAGGAGAAGGAGAGCCAAATCTATAGGTGCTACTTTGGGAAGGTAAGGCATATGGCAGTCATGCTGTTTTAATATGATCCTTAGTATGATCTTCAAAACAAAACAAAACAAAACAAAAAAAGCATAGTGACTATAGCTTATATATTTATTTGGAATAAATAAATGGAACCTTTAAAAGGTATCTTGGAGACCACTAAGGGTTCCGAGACCATACTTTGCAAATCATTGTTAGAGTCTAGCCTATAATTTGGTAAGCAGTGTTAATTTGTTCATTAAAAATATTTACTTTATCATTACTGTTTATTGAAACGAACCAGTAAATACTTAATACTTTAATGTAACTAGGGGGACACAGTGGCTCAGTGGCTAAGATGCTGAGCTTGTCAATCAGAAAGGTCAGCAGTTTGGTGGTTCGAATCCCTAGCACCGCGTAATAGAGTGAGCTCCCATTTCTTGTCCCACCTACTGCCAACCTAACAGTTTGAAACATGTAAAAATGCAAGTAGAAAAATAGGAACCACTTTTGAGTGGGAAGGTGACAGCGTTCCTTGCGCCTTTGGCATTTGGTCATGCCGGCCACATGACCACGGAGATGTCTTCGGACAGCGCTGGCTCTTTGGCTTTGAAACGGAGATGAGCATTGCCCCCTAGAGTCGGGAATGACGAGCACATAAAGGGGAAGCTTTATCTTTACTCTTTATTGAAATGAACCAGTAAATACTTAATACTTTAATGTAACTATCACAATATTTTAATAAAATTGTCACAAGTCTATTTTTACAGATTTATTTTCTTTCTAGTCTCATTATGTACAATCTATTGTAAACATGCACGTCTTTATGTACCTGCACCAAAGCATAATGTTTCATGCATCTGTTAAAAGCCTTCACTATCTCAAATCAAGTAGTACAATAAATGACCCACAAGATATCTCAAGATTTTGTTGTTTCTACAAATTTCTGGATATTCCAGTAACTGGTAACTGAGAACCAGGGACCTGCAGTCAGGGGAGGCAGAGTCTCACCACTGTCATCATGAAAAGAAAAAAAAATGTAAAAGGAAAAAGGCAAGAGATGAGGTCAGACTGAGCTAGTTGCTGCCAGAGTCACCATGGATGACTCTGCTTAGTGCTTAACTGTTTAAAAAAGCCTCTAAAAAAGTCCCCTTTACAGGAGGCGGCAGGAGAATGACGTGCCTCATCTAGTCTGATTATGATCACTCGAGCAGAGTTAAGCAAGGGTTAAAAGCCGAAAAATTCCTGACGTAGATGAGACACATCGTTCTCTTGCCTCCTCCTATAGAGGGTGCTTTTTTAGAAGCTTTTTTAAACAGTTAAGCACTAAGAAAAATCATCCATGGTGACTCTGGCAGCAACTAGCTCAGCCTGACCTCAGCTCTTNGCACATATGTGCTAGTTGTTCCCGACTCTAGGGGGGGGCGGTGCTCATCTCCGTTTCAAAGCCAAAGAGCCAGTACCGTCCAAAGACATCTCCGTGGTCATGTGGCTGGAATGACTCAATGCCGAAGGTGCACAGAACGTTGTTACCTTCCCACCAAAGGTGATTCCTATTTTTCTACTTGCATTTTTACATGCTTTTGAACTGCTAGGTTGGCAGAAGCTGGGATCAGTAATGGGAACTCACTCCGTTATGCGGTGCTAGGGATTCGAACCGCCAAACTGCCAACCT